GCGGGCGCCCAGGTGCGTTCAGGGACCACCGGTGTGAGTGGACACGGTCACTCCGGAGAGCCCTGGACGCGCCCCAGGGCTGGCGGGCGGGGGGCAGGAGCTGCGCAGCCTCTGGGCTCCTGGAGGGCAAGGGCCGGCCGGGGAGGGGCGTCAACAGGGGCGCCCCTTTCCTGAAGAGGGTCTCCCTGTGCGGGCGGGGATGCCCAGGAGGGGCGCCAGGGGAATCACACAGGCAGGCCCTGTGTCCTTCAGTGGCCTTCAGGGCCAGGTTCTGCGGGATGGGCCGGGCGCCTCTGAACTCTCCCCTGCGTGCCGGGCCTGGGGCTCAGCCCAGCGCCCCAGAGGTGTGCGCTGACTCCAGCCCCCCCCAGCTCCAGAATCAGGAGCAGCGCCCCCAGGTGCCCGCCGGCCTGCAGCGCCGCCTCACCGCCAGCAGAGGGCAGGGCGCAGCGGCTGTGACGGAGATGGCGGACAGCCGCCCTCTGGGCCACGTGGGCCCAGGAGCCCGCGGAGGTGGCTCGGGTGGGGCAGGGCGGCCCGCGGCTGGTTCTGAAGACCGAGAAGCCGGGGCCGGGCACCTCCGGGCACCTCCGGGAGCTGCACGAGGCACAGCAGCCGCTGCGCTTGGTCCCGGGCGGCCTCTGCCTGCGGGGCCTGGACCGGAGAGGGGCCTTCTCCGGGGCGAGGCCAGGCTGCCTGCGGCGCCCAGGTCCGAAGTCGCGCTAGAAGGACCGAGCAGGCAAGAAAGGCGGCTGAGGGCTGGGGCCGGACGGGGCAGCCGGGAGGCCGCCAGTGTCCGCGGCAAGGCCCGTGGGGTGGGAGGTGACAGCAGAGGTCACGTCCGCCAGCCTTGACCAGGAGACCGCGCCCTTTCCAAGTCTGGCAAAAAGCACAGACGCCCCATAGGCAAAGATTTAAGCCGCATTAGGGATGCTGTGGGGCCTAACGCCCAGCTGCGAGGTGGGGGCCACTCCCCCGACACCAGGGACGCCCCAGCACCCGCCCCAGCGCCCACCCGCCCACGGGCGCCCGAGGGACAGTCTGCGAGACAGCCCAGCAGCTCCCGGCTGTGGGGGGCTGCGCCTCCGCCTCGAGTCAGGGGCGACGTGCGCCGTCAGCTTCGGACAGCAGCCCCTTCCTGCAGGGGGTGGGGGCGTCTGGGGCTCCCCCAGGTGGGCCAGGCACCCGCCAGACCTCGCTCCCTGGACGCTGGTCTAGGCGGTGCTTGGTAGCAGCGCCTGTCGCCCGTTTCCCAGTGTGGACCCTCAGCAAGGGGCGTCTTCTTGCTGTGGGGGTCTTGTGAGGGCTGAGAAAGTGAGGTCCCACTCGTGGGCTGCATGGAGTCGGGGGCAGCCAAGGGAGGCGTCTCGGGCTTGCGTCACCGGTGAGCTGCCCTTGTGAACAATGCTCAGGCAGGGGTCACCCCGCTGGCCTCGCCTGGCGAGCCAAGGGATCCTGGGACACGCCGTTCACGGGGCAGAGAGCCGGCACTCAGCGAGGCTGCGCAGCGGGCCAGGGCCACCGGCCAGCCACGGCCACCCGCGAGGCCCCGCCCACAGCGAAGCCCCTCCCACCACCAGGCCCCGCCCACCACTAGGCCCCGCCTGCCCACTCTCTCTCTCTGCCCCACTCTGGGGGGCCCAGAGGGCTGGACGCCAGCCGGTTGCCCTCGCGGGGACAGGGAGACTCCAGGGCGGGCGTCCAAGGGCAACATCCGAGAAACGTCCTTCCAGGACGCCCGAGACTCACCCGGTGGTAGGCGGTCAGATGATCGAAGATCTCATCCATGGAGGACTCCGGGGAAAGAGAGAGCAGGCTGGACTGCTTGCCCTTCTTGCTGCACTGGGCCTCCTGCTCCCGGGTGTGCTGCAAGGCCTCCCGGTAAGAGCTGTCCTGGCAGTAGATGATCTGCTCCATTTGGAAGTGGAGCCGGATACACTTCTCGGCTTCTTGCTCCTGCTCTGTCTTAATGTCCTCAATTTTGGTCTAGGGCCAAAGAGAAGCATAAAATTTCCCTTGAGGGGTGTCTGGAAGTGGGTGCCTGCAAAGTGCACAGATGGGGCTCCCACTTGCATGGAGTCGCTCCCGGCTGAGGGTCTTTGGGTGCAGCCCTGGTTGCAGAACCTCCAAGGTGTCCCCGCTGCATGGAGACCCCGCACCACCAGCGCCCAATTCTGCAGCTCAGCCCTTGGCCTATGCCCCAGCTGCCCTCTCAGCGGCCTCTGGCTCCAGCCAGCGGGACCGGACAGGGTAGGGTGGCGTGGCCACAGGGGCCACTCAGCGCTCCAGGCCCGTCCCTGGAGTCTGCAGCCACAGCTGCCCCGTCGGGGCCCCAGGCCGCAGAGGCTGCCACGCGTGGCCCTGACCGCCTCTCCCTGTCCGTCCCGCCCCCTGGGACGGCGGTGTCCTCCGCCTGGGGTGGCACCCCCAGGCCCCAAGCCCCTGCGCTGCTGGGTGCTGGGATGCGTTCTGAGATGGTAGGTTGAGAGTTGAGAGTCTGGCCGGAGCGATTCTGCTCGAGGAGCCGTGAGGTGACACGAGCTCGGCGACCTCGGTCGGCAGACACGGTGCGGGGGGAGGGGAGATGCGCCGAGAAACCAGACTCTCCACGCTGACCTATGGCATGACCTCCCTTGTTGGTACAATCGTAATATCAAAATATTCTGAGCAGCCTTCAGCTTGCAGCTGGTGGCCTCGGCCTCAGGAGGCGCTGCCTGGCCTGACAAGCAAGCCCTGCACCAGGGGGAGACATTCCTCTG